TATTTTCTTCAAACAAAGTAATAATAACTGTAGGAGTAATAAAACCTAAAATGTATAATTGTTATTATACAACGTTGATAACCATTGTTGATAAACTTGTACTCTGTTCTACACCATGTGCTACGTCTATCCTTGGTATTGACTGACAGCTTTGTTTTGCCATATTTGACTGTATTCTCCCCCCCCCAAAGAAAGTAATAAGCACTAAGGAGTAATAAAATCCAAGATGTGTAAATTTTGTTGTAAAAAAGAGAGGGAAAAAAAAAAAAGAAAAGGAGCTCTAACGGATATAACAGCAAGTGTGTTTGGGGGTGTTAAATAGCTGACTTTATCAATGTTTTTGGAACATTGAACACAGCTGTTTGCAGTCTCCCTGTTTGAATGTCCACCTTGTGTTCTTTGATACTGTGATTTGAGGAACTATTTTCAAGAAAATAGTGTGTAATCTACTAGCAGGTAATTTCTTACTGTTATGGTTTTTTGTTTTGTTTTGTTTTGTAGTTCTGTATTGCGTGTACCCTTACGCCGCTTTGGTTTGTTTTGTGTTTTTCTCTTTTTCCTCTTAAATAAAAAAAAAATTGTTATTATAAAAAAGAGAGGAAAAGAAAGTGCTCTAAAGGATATAACTGCATGTATGTTTAAGTGTGTAAAATAGATAACCATATTACTAAGATTTTGTTGGATCTTCAAACAGAACTGTTTGCAGTCTCACTGTTTAAATGTCCACTTTATATGCTTTAATTTTGTAACTTGAACAGTGACTTCTAAGATGACAATAGGTAACCTATCAACTAGTGATTTCTTACTGTTTTTTTGATATTTTGTGTTACTTCTACCCTTTTTTCTGTTTGCTTTTTTTCCTCTTTAAATAAAAATCCTTTATTAAAAAAAGGAAAACAGCACAAAAAACAAATGAGTCAAAACAGTGACATAGCTGCACCCATGTTTATAGCAGTACAATTTTTAATAGCCAGATCTTGGAAACAACCTATGTGTCCAACAACTGAGGAATGGATAAAAAAGTTGTGGTACTTTTATACAATGGAGTGCTACTCAGCTATAAAGAATGATCACATTGAGATTATAAATAAGTGGATGCAACTTGAGACCAAACTCATAAGTGAAATAAACCAAACTCACATGTATAAATATCATATAGTCTCCCTAGTGTAATAAATGATGAGTACATAAAAGTTTATGGCAATCATGATTCCCCATTACATTGCTTTAAAGCCTTGTAATGTTTCCATTCATTAGTTGGAATGGTTTTATCCTGGATTGTTTGATTTTAATATCTGTGATGGTATGAACAGCTATTTTCAAGAAAACAAGACATTATAATAGCCAGTGCTGATTTAAAATTATCTTGTTTTTGAAGTCCTACCATACTTTTATTTTTCTGTTTCCATTGGTTCTATCATGTTGTGTCTTATTGGATTTTATCATGTGTAGTAGTATAAATAAATTTTTATGGACAATGAGATAATATAGTAACCATTGTTCATTTTCTGTTATTTGGTTCTGAATGCCCTGTAATACTTTCATTCTCTTTAATGGTTTTATACTATTTTTTTATGTTTGATACTATTGTGTATGAAGGCATACTCAACTATTTCAAGGAATGAGACATTATGGTAGCTACTGTTATATCATGTTGTCTTGTGGTGAAATACTCTGTTGCTTAAATTGTTCTATTCCGATCTGCTTTGTTATACCCTCTTTTATCTTAATCTCTTTAAAATAAAAAAATTAAAAAGTTAGTTCTGTGAAAAACTAAATAATAAAAATGATAGAGCACTAGCTAACCTTATCAAAAAGAGGAAAGAAAAAACATAAATTCAAGCAATTAGGAATGAAAAGGGGTAAATCAGAACAGATTTCAGAGAAATCCAGAAGATCATTACTACCTACTATGAGAGCATATATTCTAATTAGATGGGAAAAAGAGAAAATAGATACATTCCTTATGAAACTGAATTGCCAAAGCTAAATCAAGAAGATATAAAAATCTGAAATAACCTGATATCAATCAATGAAATTGAAAATGTAATTAAAACTTTACCAACAAAGCAAAGCCCAGATCCTGATGAATTCACTGTTGAATTCTACAAGAAAATTTAGAGAAGGGCTAATTCGTTAATGCTAGAAATCTTTAAAGAAAGAAAGTGCCCAAAAGGACAGTACTACTGGGATAGGGGAAGGGAAACAAGAAAGAAAGAAAAAGATTATATGTATGTTGGTAAACAAATATGAATTTATGTATGCATATGTATGTTAGGTATATAACTATACAACTAATCTCTCAATTCATCAAAAAGAACAATTTGTGCTGTCATTGCTTGGTTGATTTCTCTTGCATCTAGATTTTGTAACCTGAACAATTAGTTCTGAGTTCTGATAACAATGTGCAACGTATTAACTAGTGTTAATTCTCTACTTTTTCTTTCCTTTTTATGAAATTCTATATCCTTTCAATATTTTTTTCTGTTTTGCTTTTTAAAATAAAATTTTCAAAAAGATTGAAAGGTAACTAAAATCACACCTGGAAACAGGTATTACCCTGTTTCAAAAAACAGAGATGAGCACAACCAAAATACAAAACTATAGGCCAATCTCCCTAATGAATACCGGTGTAAAAATTCTTAATAAGGTACTGGCAAATGGAATGAAGCAAATCATCAAGAAAATTTTACCTCATGACAAAGTAGGATTTATCCCAAGAATGAAGGAATGACTCAATATATGCAAAAAATAAATGTATTACACCATATTAGCATAACCAGGGACAAAAATCACATAATCACCTCAATGGATATGGAAAAAGCAAAGGCCAAAACACATTTATACTAAAAATCTTACAGAAAATTGGAATTGATGATTTTTACCTCAATCTGATAAAAGCTATCTATGACAAAACAACAGCCAACACTATACTAAATGCACATTTCATTCTAAAATGGGGAACAAGGCAAGGTTGTCCATCATCACCACTACTGTACAATGTAGTTCTGGAAACATTATCCAGAGCAATTAGAAAAGAGAAAGAAATAAAAGGAATATTGATAGGAAAGGAAGAATCTAAATAAGCATTAGTTGCAGATGACATGATAGTCTACATTAAAGACCGAAATACTTCATCCAAAAACTCAGAGATTTAATATCCAAATTCAGTAGCATAGCAGGATACAAATTCAGTACGCAGAAATTAATAGCATTCCCTGTACACAAGCTACAAACTCACAAAGAAAGAGATTAGGGAAAACACAGTCTTCAAAATAGTATGAAAAATAAAATGCTTAGGAATGATTTATAACCTAACAAAGGTTATAAAAGACCTGTAAAGTGAAAATTTCAGTATCCTTAAAAAGGAGATTGCAGAGGATATCATAAGAGAAAGTATGTAAAAATTTTGAAGATATAGGTTCAGACAGAGACTTCATGAAGAAAACACAGTCTGCAAGGGAAATATTACAAAGAATGAATAAATGAACTAATTGAAAAGATTTTGCACATCAAAAGAAATCACCAGTAGAATAAAAAGACAAACCACAGATTGCGAAAAAATTATAGCCAATTGTCCTTCAGACAAAGAATTTATATCTAGAACATAAAAAAACTGAAAAAAATCAGACTCTCTAAATTCAAAAGCTCAATCCAAAAATGGGCATCTGAGATGAAAATACACTTCTCAGATGAGGAAATTCAAGTGGCAAATAAATGCATGAAAAAATGTTCAACACCGTTTGTCTTTCAAAAGATGCAAATTAAAACAACATTGAAATTCCTTCTCACCCCAGAAACAATGGCTGTCATCAGCAAATCAACTGATAACAAATGCTGGAGGCGCTGTGGAGAAGAAGGACACTTTCCACTATTGTTGGGGGTATAGGTCAGTGAAATCACCATGGAAATCGGTGTGTAGATTCCTTAAAAAACTAGGATTAGAGGTCCCATTTGACCCAGGTATCCTCCTTCTCAGTGTTTTCCCAGAAGAATCAAAAACATCAAACCACAGTGATAGATGTGCAGCCATGTTTATAACAAAATAATTCATAATAGCTAAATCTTAGAAATGCCCCAAAATCCATCAACTGAGGAATGGATAAAAAAGGTACATTTTAAAAAATATAATGGAATATTTTTACATAATGGAACACTACTCAATCACCAAGGAGGGCAAACTGGAGGTTTTTATAGGCAAATGGGTACAATGTGAGACCAAAATCATAATAAATCAGATTCATAGGTGTAAATATCATATTGTGTCACTAGCATGAGAAACTGAAAGAGTAAATAAGAAAAAAAATTCCAATACGTGCTGTGAACCGAGAAGAGACTGTACAAAAGAAAAGACAAACTGTGATGAGGGAAAGGGGAAAGGAAGAGAGGGAAAAAGAAAAAAAAATCGTATAGTTAAGATAGTTAAGGTCATTATACAGCTAGTCTCTCTTAATTCACTGAAAAGAAAGTTTTGTGCTACTATTTTTTGGCACCTATATTTTGTACTGTAAATTTCTAGTAAGAAGACAACAATATGCATCTGTTAATTATTATAACTGTCCTACTAACCTGTTTTGAACCTGTTTCATTGTTAATTTTATATTTTTGTCTTTAAAATAAAATTTTAAAAATATTAATTATCTTTCTAAATTTTTCTAAGGAGCTGTCCCTGGATGGCTTTGAGTTTGGATATTATGCTAAATACCTGAAAATACCCTTTTGATCAGCAAAAAGCACAGGAGAAATTCTCTCTCTGACTTGTGCCTTTGCAGGGACTAGTTTTTTGCTGAGGAAGTACAGTAGAATTAGTCTGCCTTTTTGTCACATCTTTGTCATCTGTCCAGTCCTTCCAAAGGAACAGGACTAGATAACTGGATTAAAGACAGAACTTGAGCTTGTGATTCTCCTATCTCAGTGTTGACATGACAGGTGAGGACTAGTCATTTGGCTCTACTTCAGTTTCTTATGCATCAACCATTGGTCCTGTCCTTGCTTTACAATTACTCCAGAATCTGGAGACACAAAGACAGATAAAACAGAATCTCTACATCAAAAAAATTCAAGTTTAGCATGTAAGATGAATTAGAAAAAGTACTCAGAAGCCAGTTTGATATTGCTTTTGAGATATATACAGATTAGTAAGACCAAAACAATACTTCAAGAATCCTAAATCAATTATTATCCAACATCTATCATTGGCTCTCCATGTATATCAAATATCCTTTAATATTCATGTACCTCTGGAAACTGGAATAAGGAGTCTAAGACACCTCAAGGCTAATGGTTAAAGAAAACTGAGTTTCTTAGCTGGGTATCATAGCTGCCTATTGACTAAAATTTCCCATCTCTGTTATTCACTTTGAATATAGCAAAGGAATTCCAACTTTACCATGGCCTTTCCTTTCTAGGGTACTCTATCTTTTCAACTGTAAGATTTTCACAAAAGAGTGTTCTTTGTAGTCACTTAGTTCAAAGGTATTGTACAGGCATAATGTAGCACCTCATTGCTCAAGGAATGAATTGTGCATACAGTGACTTTGATGCCTCAGTTTTCAAAGCAATACGATGGGACTCAGTTGGGTAGACTGACCGATCAGTCACTTTGCCTGTGAATCACCTTTTCAGAGCATCAATCTATCTACAAGTGCCATGCAAAATTATCACTTTCTAAGTATGCCTTTCAGAGTATAAAATGTTAGATGATATCTTTAGTTTACTTTCCTACTGTCAGAAAAATTCTTTCAAGGAATTTTGCGTCTCTGTTCATATTGGGCAACTCCATTGGTAAGAATATCTGGTTTTATGTTCTGCTCATTTAGGAGCAGGAACCAGACCTTCTTTAGAAACTATTATATCCCAGGTATCTAGCATAGGAGAGGGACTCAAAAATACTGATAGAAAGGAAGACGAGAGAAAGGAAGAAAGAAGGGAGGACATTTGCCTCTAGTAGTATCTGCCATCGAATATGATATTGTTATTACCTCCTTTGGTGATCAAAGATCATTTAATATCAATTTCTTCTTCAAATCCAATTGGTTTCTGATAATATGTCACCTTTTTCCAGTTATGGGTACATCCACAGTAAATACCAAGGCTTCGAAGCCCAAAAGATTCTGCCCTTTGGACTAGATGTTTAACTTCTAGTTTGTCTGCGCATAAAGCTGGAACCAGTGGAGGTCTCTTGGGGCAACAGCAATGTTTTGAGGGTAAAACTCGCATATATGATGGTGATGGAGCAGATGCTAGTTGGTTGGGTAGGTGCAAGACAAAGTAAAAGACATATTAAGATGGTAGAGGCATTCTGGACTGGGGCAAGAAGCCCAAGGTGCTTGCTTTATGAGTAAAGATAAAATTTAGACTTTGTTATGCTTCTCTTAGGTTACATATGGCAGACAGCTTGATCAAGCTGAAAAGCCCAAAGCTGTTTGGGCACTCTTCTGTATGTAAACTATCTTGTAACCGCTAAATCCCATAATAAAATTATTTAATTTACAGAACCACAGAACCACATACGAATATAGCTTGTCATTTCTTAACAAAGTAGAAGTGAAATAGGTCAGCGAACGGGGAATGCAATTCCCCTAGAAAACCTTGAATTTTCAGTAGAAGCTGAAACTGGAAGGATGCTAGTTCTGTCACTTTGCTTGTTACTTTGCATTTCATTTCCTTCATCTGTAAAATGAGGGAAATACCACCTGACTTTTCTGGAGTGATCCAATAAGAATAGATATGGAAGCAGTCTGTAGTTTGCAAAGTGATGTAGTAAATGTATGTTAATGATAAGAAGGTTGATGATGGTGATGATTGTTGATACTACTGCTGCTACTGAAATGCATATTTCTTATTTCCCATTTTCTGCATTTCATAAGGTGTTTTAAAAGCATGTTAATACCACTCCCATTTTACAAATTACGTACAAAAATATTTGGCTTGATCAATAATCAATACTGTTCAATTCTCATATCAACAGGAGAGATCCCCTCCTTTTACTCACTCTAAGCCCACACTCAATGATGAAGACTTAGGAAGCTACTCATTCAAGACATTCATTTTACAATTCAATCACATTCAGCTCTAGGATCATTAGATTCATTACTTCCTGCATCATGGAGTCAGAAGACAAGACCCCAGAGAAAGACAGATTTAGATCAAAGTGAAGGTTATAGAATTCCTAGAATATTTTCAGTCTCATCTGTTGCCATTATCATCATTGTCACCATCAACACTGGTATTATTATTATTAATATTGATATTAGTAGAGGATATATAAGAGAGTGGGGGGTCACTACCAAGGAGACATAACACAAGAAATGATTACCTAAAAGATAACAAGGTCAATTGAGGAGATAGGAAATAGAACATTTGGAGATGAGCATTGTGGTAGGACATAATCTCATGATTTGCTCTTCAGCCTAAACTCAGTTACTCACCATTCTGGCCTATAAGAGGAAGAGAGGCCTATTCCTATGGCCAAATTTATGTTATACCCAGGACTATCCTTTTCCTTACAGGTAGTATAATTCAATTTGGACAAATGGCCCTCTTTTGAGGGATGACTTGACTGGATTTTAGTACACTGCTTTTCATAGTAACTGCTCTCTCACACTATTTATTTGTTGCTTACTGACGATGAGTATTTTCTCAGTCTTAGGTGAAATGTTATGCAAATAGCTTTAAGCATTTTTGCTCCGCCTTCCTTAATTCCAATCAGACAGCTGTCCCCAGGCATTTCTGTGAGAAATCCTGGAGTTCCTTGTCACACTGCTCTGAGGGAAGCTTCTTGCACACTTCTAGCCTTCTGAGAAGGGAACCTGAAGATGAGATTAGTTTGTGCCTCCGACAGTACTCCATCAAGCCAGGCAACGTGGTGGAAACTTGTGGGTGTGATGCAAATGTGAGCACCAGTCTCTTCATCTGGTCTGTAGTCTTGGTGTCCATCACTGACACATTTCTCAGATACCATGGATAGAGGTAGATTCTGTACTAGGCAACGAGCACAGGTTATGTTGGTGAGAAGAGTCTGCAGCATGGCAATGCTGCATGTAGCTGGGGCCCCTGATGCCAGGTTCAGCCCAAGCCAGACTGGATCCTGATAAAATCTTTCTGGATATAGTTGGCTGATTCTCAGTAAGCATTTCAGGACCATCAGGAAGCTCATCTCCAGAAAACTACTCCCCAAGTCATATTCCACATTAAGTCAACTGTTTTTCAGCTGCTAACGCACCATGGTCCACATCAACTCCTTCCTTGCTTTTTTTAGTTTCTGTGCCCTGCCTCTCTGAGTAGCCTCTCAGAACTTGAATGGCTTCACTTATTAATCACAACATCTATAACAGAAAAGAAGAGGTAGGAAGAAGTTTCAGGGTCATTCCCCCCTCAGTCAGCAGCAAATCCTTAGAAAGTAAAAAGGCCACTGAAGAAGAAAAATCCCAGAAGCATATCTTCTTTTGAAGGAGGCTAATTCATTTTACTTAAATATTGTACTGATTCATAAAAAGATAGAATTTACAAATATTGAATTTGTAAAACCCAATTTTAAGACAAGCAAAGAGTCAACTTCAATGTCCAAATTTTTTTTAACAAATATTGTTTTTGTACATAAACAGGGAAATTTCCTGGAAATACTAATTGTGCAAACTTGAGCAAGTTAGCTTCTCTTATTTCATCTGTAAAATGAGTAATAAACCACACTTTCTAACAGTTTTGTGAGGACAAACTGAAACCAATCATTAAAAGCACTCGGTAGTTTGCTAATCAAGTATGAAAATATAGCATAGGCTAACATTCACTTGTATTCCAGTTTTCAGTTTTCTTGACCTCTCTATCTTAGGGGTCAGAAAACTTTTAAATATGAGGAAAACAGTAAATATTCAGGGCTTTGTGTGTTATTTAGTCTCTGACACAATTAATCAGCTCTGTTTTCCTAGCACAAAAGCTGTGATAGATAATAATGAATGCTTACGGATGGCTGTGTTTCAATATTTTGTGAACACTGAATATAAAATATAACAATTCAGTCAAGAATTGGGACTGTATGGAAAGAGAATATAGTAGGCAGGGACAGACAGAGACTTGTGTCCTGGTGAAAAAGAGGAAATGGAGAGACCATGCTTGGGTTGTGCTTGGGTTTGCTTGAAAAACACTAAAATGTTAAATATTTTGAGGCCTAGTAGTTACTACAGAAATCTGGCAGTCCAAGGCAGTTTGGTGACACAGATTCCATCAAGATGATCCACTTGTGCTAATTGTGCAAGCTAACCAACAGCCTAAAGACTAAAAAATCCTCTACCTCAAGGCTCATGGAGAGATTGAAAGGAGCCACACACACTTCAATAAAAACAACTCACAAACACCACGCTAGGGGCTTTCCAGCTCTGGACCCCCCTTTTCTTTGGAGAAATCTGTTTTGCTCCTTTGCAATAAAATTCCGTTTCCCTTAGCAACTTCCTAGGACTCTTTTCTTCTATTTTTTTTTTAATTTTAAAGAGAATAAAACCAAGAAAAATAAAACAATAAAGCCAATCAAAACAAACCAGGATAAGTGACACAGGACCTCAAAACAATGGGAAATCAACAATGGTTACCATCATGCCTTTTCTTGTATTCAAAATAGCTGCAGATATCATCAGACATAGTAGAAATCAAACAAAGCAGAGCAGAATAGAATCAATAAAAACAAAACAATACAGTGAAGGACTTCAAAATAAGATAGTAGTAAATCCCAAATGACTACCATAATATATCTTCTTATCTTTGAAACGACTGCCCATGCCATCAAATAAAATTTTTAAAAAGCAGAGAAAGAACAAAATTCAACCTAACAAAAAAAATGAAAATGATACAGGACTTCAAAAATAATAAAATAGGGAGTTAATAATGGTCACCACCCTCAGAATATCACCCCATAGATGCTACACTGTATTGCCCTCTTCTGAAAAGATGATCAGACCATTGGCTTTAGATCTGCTAAGTCAGTGAGGCACTAAACATTACAAGCATTAAATTGTATTTTACCTCAATAACTATCATTGCCACCTGTGTTTCTCTGGATCAGCTGGCAGCTTATGGTAGTGGACAGTGGTGGGGAGTTGGCTCTTCTTGTCTCCCTGCCTGCACACCCGAAGGGGCTGGCACCTGGCTCTCCCCCAGGAGCCTGTGCATGGCACCAATTCACAGGGAGGGCTTGCTTCTTTGCTTTTCTCCTATTTCTATAATGGACTGAGACTCCAGATCCAGAAACACCTTAAGGCCAGTCATCACACCCAAAATGCATCTGTAAGATTTTATCTCCTATTTAAGGTTGTAGCTACTTTAGTTTTTAGAATTTATCTTGATCAGACCATAAGGAATTTAGGCAACCATGCAATTCTCAGAATGTATTCTGAGATACATGATTATTAAGTGACACACAATTGTAGGTTTTATTTATTGTTTTGCCCCAACAATTTAAAAATGAAAAATCATTCTTAGCTTCTGCTCTATCCTAAATTAGGTGGTGTTCCAGACTTAATTTGTAGCTATTGTTGGCTGATCTATAGTCTATTCTCCTTATGTTATATTGATATAGAGGAATAAAGCTGCTGAGCTACTTTGTCTGGTATGATTTCATGTTCTCTAAAATCAAAGAATGAATTTTAGGGACAAAGAAGTTAAGAGCAGAATATATTCATTGAGAGAATGAAAGCTTCTGTCAGAGAGACAAGAAGGGGTCCTGAGCGGGTTGCCAAGAACTCTGTATTTTCCAGGGACTTCTATAGAGTAAAATCATGGGGTGAGATGCATTTAAGATGGGAAAACTTGGAACTCACAAGGCAGATGGGCATAAGGTGGGACAGAGCTATGGTTAGCCAAAAAGATTAGTAGATAAAATCAGCTAAATTGGGGACAAATGAAGAAGCCAATCACGTAGAAAGTGGGCATTCTTAGAGAGCTGTGACTCTTCCCTAGGGGATTAGAATGATGACTCTTGCCTTCCTTCAGGGTAATAGGGAGCTATTTAGAATATTAGTCCTTAGGATGTGGATGCTTTTGTTTGATCTTTTGTCTTGGAGACCTGTCCCACAGGAGGAGGTGTCTGTCTCCCCCATAGTGGCAAGTATCTGGGCTTCACTGGTTCCTTCAAGGACCTGGCCCTGTCTTACTGCATATAATATTTCTAACTTGGAAACAATATCCAAGTTTTGTCCCTTTAATAAACCTTCTGTCCCTCCAAGTTTCGAGGGATCTTCATTATTTTTTAGAATGAATCTTCACTCCTGTTTGATGTATTTTTCCTCCAAGACAAAAGATTAGGGATTCAGGAAATTTGCGAGTAAGAATGTGCTGCAAAATTGTGGAATACAGAAGGAGGATGCACTAGTTAAATTTTCTCCCCTAAAATTCTCTCTCTCATCACCTCTTCAGTCTCTCTTTTTCTCCCTGAAAACATAGCAATAAAAAGACAGTTTCCTGGTATTAGATAGCTCTAGTGTTCCCACTGAGCTACATCTCTAACTACAACCTCTCCTTTACAATTTGAAGTAGAATTTCACTAGATTAAGTTATCTGGGTTAGGGCTAAATTTGTGAATCTCCTGCCTCAGCCTCCTAGAGGGCTGCGAGTACAGGAGATCACCACCATACCTGGCCAAAAGCCAAATTATTGTATCTTGAGCATTCTATATTCCTTAGAGGCAGACACTAGGAGTACTAACTGTATCATCTAAGGGGGTCTCAACCAGTGCACGTTAGCCTAATAATAGAAAAGATACAGAACAGACCTTTTAAATCCTGCAACATTATTATTCCATGTGATCAGCACTACCTTCAATAAAATCTCAAACTGTCTTAGATAGCTGCTGTTGAGCAAATGTCTGAAGGTCTGTCAAACATGCCAAGGACATTTGGACTTTCAGAAGGACAAATCGAACCAAACATAGTAAGGACGCAGCCAGAATAGAAGAAAAGATAAAGGGGGAAATCAGAACAAAGTTCTTTGGATGCAGCATCCTTCCTCCTGTACTATTTAACTTAATGCAGTTGTAACTGGCAGTGAAAACTGGAGTTTTAAAAGTCAGGATTTTTTCTTTTCTTTAGAGGTAAGCAACTTAAAGTTTTCTCTTGCTGAGCAAATAACCAATGCTTCTCTCCTCAGCCGGAGGAAGTGACGCAATGTGCAGATGCAGGCCCCAGAAGGCTGGAGCCCACTTTCCTTTCCACAAGAAAGGGAAGAATGACCTGAAGACAGCTGGAAGCGATAAAGCAAGAGCCGAGATCTGCCTTATCTCTTATGCTTCCACTCTTCTCTGTTCTTTACTATAAAAGACTTCTACTCTCTTGTATATGGTGAGATGGTGATTTGAGGCAAATGGGACTCTCCATCTCTTTAGAGCTAGCTTTGAATAAATCCTTTTTATGAAAATAAATGGCCACTCTGGATTTAGTCAGTGGTGAGTAAAGGAACATGAGCTTTTGAATTTAAGTGGCTATCACAGAGTTACTGCTCAAGATACTGATCCCCAAGCCAGAGTACAGGCAATTATGCTCCCATCGTGCACTCTCCCACCTCCATCCCTGAGCCCTGATTGTTTGGTCTTCTAGGTGCTTTTCATGTCTGTCCTCCTACCTACATGTGTTACCTCAAGTCTACTTGTGGTCCCACCATTTCTTAAGACATTGCTTGAAAATTTTCTCCTTTTATCTCTGCTTGTTACATTTGGTCTCCATCTTTTCTCCTTCTAGCTGCTTCCTAAAATACAAGTATTCTCATACCTGTATTCTCCAGTGCCCATAGCCTGGCACTCACAGTTCCTTATTAACTCCCTCACCAGCTTTATTACTTGGCAACTTTTCCATATATTTGTAATTCAAGTCACTATGTGGGAAAACTACTCAACTGACACTGATAGGAATCCCAGGAACCTCTAGATGTCTGAGTTTTCTGGGGTTAAGGATGATATAAAGGAGGAAACAGAGACTTTGCTACACTAGATCATCAAATATATTGCTTATTACTTCTAGGAGGGCAAAATATCACCACTTAGTTCTTTGTAATGTTTACTAATTTTGAGAAAAAGAGTATACTGTATGTTGTTTCCCTATACTCTCTACCATCTAAACTCTGTAAACCTAGAACTTCCTTTTCTGATATGACTCTACCAGAATAAGGAAAGAGAACGGTTTTGGGTTTCCAATAAACTTCCTCAACATGAGCAAGGACAACAGGTTCAGTCAATTGCAGCATAATGGATGTCATATGAGAGGATTTCAGATGGAAAAGCTGAGATATCATGAGTTCAAACCTCTAATCATCTCTAAGGCCATAAGTAGCAGAGTTAAAATTAGCCAAATATTGTGAGTAGAAACTGAGTAAAAACCAAAGGGATTTAAAGTCATTTATTGAAGGAAAGGAACATGTCTCAAGAACTAAAACTTTGCCAGGGTGAGATTAGCTCACCAAAGAGGTGGCAGGGGACAGGAGGAGGCACAGGGAGGCAGATGGCCAGATAGAATATGGAGTGCTAGATATCGTGGCTGCAGTAGAGACGAGGCACAGTTAACTTGAGAGCTTCCAGAATCAAGCACATGTCTGGCAAAGTTATACATCAAAGTAGCCCTAGACAATTATTTATGGAACTAAATGGAAAAAGTTAAATGACAGAAAACACAGCCCCTGAGATGTATTGATCCCAGATGAAAGTGAGGAGGATTAATTTGCATGACAGTCATAAAATTTTTCACAGGAGGTCTTTTCAGTGAAAGAGTAAGAAGCTATCGAGCTAATGAAATGCAGCAAGCATATTTAATTTAACACTTTTATACCTAACCCTTTGAAAGATCCATAAACCTTAGTTCAAAGAATCAATGTTTGCATTTGTCCATCTACATTGCAATCATTTATTATTCTGTGTACTAAAAAGAGTTAATATGTTGCTCTTTGAAAGATCTGATTGCAAGGTTGTACCTTGGCTGGAGCACAGAGTTCTCACTATTTTCTGATATGAGTGTTTCACTGTATCTCAACTGTTTGAATAAACAGCATGATTTATGATGAACACCTGCTTGCCTTCTTGGAGTCTTAAGATTTTTGTGTAGAGGGTTATTATATGAATATCTTCCAACATAAAATTCTAGGCACTGAATCTCTAGTGAGCTTCTCTGGTAGACAACCATTGACTTTATTGGAAGTAGAATTTTAGAAAAATACACCTGATTTCACTCCATGAGCTTTTCACTTTGGGAATTTCGCTTCGTATCTTTTCACTGTCATAAATCCTAGCCTCAACTATATACTGAGTCCTGTGAATCCTGCCAGTGAGGCATCAAACCAGAGGCCCCAAACACACTTTTTAGCCCTAAACTTTGGAGTTTGGATGACACTGAATTGCTGTTTCTAAATTTTCATTTTTTGAATTTAACATTCCCTTGCATGGCACTTCTGCTTTATTGGATGAGAGTTTTCCACCAGGTTTTAAATACTGATATCCTATACATTGAACACTCATAGAAATATTCTTTTACACATTCCTAGCATAAAAACCACACAAAGCTTGTATATAATCATGGAGAAATGGCACACACTTACTTGGAATTACTTGACTTGAATAGCATGAATAATTTGAAAGCTGCCTGGGAATAAAGCATTAACACTGACATACTTATATATGGTATACCTTCAAGAAGTAGAAGTTCGGAGTTCATAGCCTTAGTCATATAAACCAACTAATAATTGTTCTCAGAAATCTTCACAATGTCATGGAAACTGCATATATCCTTTGCAATTTTTATTTTTTATTTTAAAAAGACTAAGACAAAAGAAAACAAAATGAAACAAAACAAAGCAAATCAGAACAGAACAATGCAAGTAACACAGGACTTCACAATAAAGAAAAAGGATATCAGCAGTGGCTACCATAGTGTCTCCTGTTTTCTTCAAAATAGTTGACCACATCTTCACACACATAATATCAAACATAACAAAAAAGTATAAAATCAACCAAAGAATGAAAGCATTACAGGACTTCAAAACTAGATAACAGGAAATGAACAATGGCTACTATAATATCTCATTTTCCTGAAAAAGTTGTCCATACTATCACACATAATAAAATGAAATAAAATATAACAGGATAGAATCAATCAAAACAGAACAAAAGCATGATAGGACTTCAAAACACAATAAAATCAAATAAATGAATGAGAGCATTATAAGACTTCAAAACAATATAATTCTTTTTCTTTTTCTTTTCTTTTTTTTTTTTTTTATCAGTACCGGGGATCGAACTCACAACTGCTTGCTTGCAAGGCAGGCGCTTATGCCGCTGAGCTAAATCTCCAGCCCCAAAACAATATAATTCAAAACCAAACATGATTACCATAAAACATTTCATTATATTTAAAATAGCTGCTCATACCCTCAGATAAAGTAAAATCTAATAAAACAAGACAGAACAAAGCCAAACCTAACAAAATTGTGAAAACAATGCAAGAGTTCAAGACAAAATGATAAAAAATTGACACTTTCCCCCACAGGTGTTTCCTCCCCTATCACTCTTACATTAACAATTTTGCTTCTGGATCCCATTAACGTCTTCTGTTTCTTATGCTAGGGTTCACCCACATGAATTCAAACTGTTTTGCCCATGAACATGATCTCCAGTTGCATCCATTTACCTCCAGGAGCTTTGATATTATTCTATTTTATAGCTGGGTAGCTTTCCACTACGTGATAATACCATATCTCTCTTATCCATTCTGTGATTATGGGCAAGTTACTCTTGCCTATTTTTATGCTGCTTTCCTGTCACATGGAACAATTGTTTTCTCCCCTTTGATTTTCAGTCTATAAATTTCCTTTTCAGTTAAATGTGTTTGCTTTCTATAGTATATCAATGGATCTTGTTTCTTGACCCATTCTCCCTGTGTTTCTTTTATTGCTGAACGGAGGCCTACTACCTTAATGGTTGCAACCATACACACCTGTTTGTCTCTGCCATGGTATCCTCCTGTCGTCGTCCCTCCACTTTTCCCCTTTATTCAGTTGCCTGTCTTGTTTGGTGATCCTTCTCTGCTGCTGTTCCTGGAACCATGGTCATCTTTCTCTCTTTCTAGAATGTCCTTTAGCACTCTTTAGGGTTGGTTTGGTACTCATAAATTCATTCAGTTGTTCTTTACCATGGAAGTATCTTACTTTTCTATCAATTTTGAAAGATAGTTTTGAGTACATCATTCTGAGTTGGAAGTTGTTTTCTTTCAGGGTTTGAAACACTTCACTCCAAACTGTTCTTGATTTGATGGTTTCTATTGATAAGACTGCCATGATTGTGGTTGGATTTCCTTTATAGGAAATCTGTTTCTTTTCTCTAACAGCATTTAGAAAACATTCTGTTTTTGTGCTGAGTTTCTGGGATCTTGATTATTATATGCCTGGGTGTCAATTTACTTCAGTTATGGCTAGTTGGAGTTCCCTATGCCTCACTTATCTGCAAGCCAGATCTGTTTCCCAAGTTTGGGAAGTTTTCTGCTATTTCTTCTCTAAATAGCCTTTTTATTTCATTTACATTAACCCCTGCTTCTTCATTGATGCCTATCATTGTTAAATTATGCTTCTTTGAATCATCTTGCATCCATTGATTGTTATTTCCTGATTCCTTGTTATTTTTAAGAGATCTTTCCTTTCACGATTGCTAGCTGCAATCCTATCTTCAAGGTTTTTGAAAGTCTGTCTCTTTCAAGTAGTTTTGCCAGCTTTTGGTTTACTTCTTAATTTCCTGGATATCTCTTTGAATCTGTTTCATGCATTGTAATTCCTTTCTATATTTATTCAAGATTTCTATCATTTTCCTATGCTTCTCTTTTTAAAATCTATGTCTTCTTTAGATATGCTAAGAACTTCTTCCATTAT